ATATCCAGACCGAGTTATATGAAATTCCAAGTTATCGAGGGTTTACTGTATTTGACAGCGAAATTTTCAAAAGAGGTAGTATAATACATGTACCTACAAATTTGTATTTTGTCAGTTGTCAAGACTCCACTGTGCAGGATACGTCTAAAGAAAATGAAGATAACATATGATTTATCCTATTTAGAGATGTCAAGAAAGCGATTAACAAGTGAAATCAGCAGCAGCAATACCCCTAGTAGTAAGAGATCCCACAAATCCATCATTTTAGATGTTAAATTGGAGGTGATAAAGGCACACTGAGGCTGGCAAAAATACAACCGCCATCAGTAGAGTTTTAGAACTACCTCAGTCAACTGTGGCAACTATTAAACAAATTAATTTTGTTTTGTTTTTAATTAAAGGCCTATCAATGCTGTAATGTATTTCAAATTTTCATGCATGCAGATATGTAAGTTGTGTTAGTGTTATTTTATTACATTTCTTGTTGAAAAAGCCTCTTCCCCCACCCTACCCAAGGAATGTATCTCCCAATTTATAATGGTAATGATTGGATAAATATAATATGATATACCAGTACAGTATTAGGTATATGATATGGTTTTCAAGAATGAAACCCGATCGTAAATCAAGGTATACCTGTATACTGCGCTTGTCTATCACACATAAACCCAGTTAATTGTAATGTAACAACTATCACTTGAGATTAGATTTATCCAGATTAATAAACTCGGGAGAATGCTTTATCCCGTTAGTGAAATAGAGATATAGTAAATGGCTTTAATAACGACTTGGTTCATGTGTAATTTTGTATTGTGCGCACAATATGTGCCACCTCGGTGAACACTATGGATGTTATAATTTTGATGATTTCCAGTTAATAGTTTCATATACTGTATGTTCAGTTGTCAGGAATTTAGGTACAGTAATTCATTGGAGGTTGTCATTACATTCTGAAGTGTATATATCTGCTTTTGTTTAATAGGTAGAGAGTTCCTTTTGCAAGCAAAAAATGTCTTGGGTAAATGACAATAAAAGTTTTACACAATTAGGTGTTTGTCGGTGGTTTAGCAACTCTTCAACAAATTCTCAAGGGATGGGGGTAACCCTCTAACTGCTGAATCATGAGAATCCACATGTACAGTCCCCTTCACTGGTGCGTTTACAGGAGCTCGACAGGTTTTGTACAGAGTGGCAGTGCTGTGCTTTTTACATTCATCAGAAGGAAACTTGCAATAATAAACATTATATGGAATCAAATTAAAACAATATTAAAACAAATATCTCAAAGATAATGATTTATGGAATGTTTATATGACGAGCCCCTGTAAACACACTACAGATATACTATTTCCATGCTAACCTGGCCCATAAACCACACCCCTCATCTATAGCTACAAATAACTGAATGGTTCAAAGAAAATGTTCATGTAGCTGTCCATTTATTCAAACTAAATTTTTTCACAATGGTTAAGCAGACCTGTTATTCTCTAAAGTAATGTTAAATATCTAGACTATCGAAATGCAAAGGATTTCAAGGCATTAGCACTTCAGAGAGGATGTTTGAAAATGTTAAATATTTATCATAAAAGGTCAAAGTCAAATATGAAATTTGCTTTTAAATGAAGTTTTTCATTATACTTCTTTGTTTTTTACCAAACATAAAGCAAACAGAAACAAATGATACCAAGCATATAGCACAATAAGTAATGAGGTACAGTTTGTATGGATGGAGATACAGTGTCCCAAATTATTTATATAACTGATAAAACGCTTGGGGTTTGTTTACATCCACTCATTTTGTGTTCTGCCACCACAGTGTGTTGTTCACTGCTACCTCTCACTTTACATCTCAGACAACTAACTACTGTGCCTAGAAATCATGCTGAAAGTCTCTCAGAAGTCTCAGAAAGGAAGTGGTGTGGGGGAGAAAGTGAAAAAAGAGTGCGGCTGTCATTTAGAAAAAAGTTTGGAAATTATAGAAAATATGAAAACAAACACCGAACCCCCTAGTTTAAGGTAAGAAATGAATATTGTTTCTAATGTTTGTATTTACAGTTAACCAAAGATGCACTAATCCCACCCTGGATCTTGTACTTGCAATTTTACCTGGCAATACTTGGTAAAGTAAGGCTGTATGAAATGGTGATTGTGATTGGTGGATATATTTTGTGCTGACTCACTGTCAAGATAAATATTAAACAAACCAAGGATAGAATTTTTATAATAATAAACTATTCATCATTATTTAAGATCATGAGAAGTTTCCAAATGTTCGTATATATATCGACAATATATACCTAGATTTTGCCAAGACTTTCGACAGTGTACCCCCATAAAAGGCTGAAAATCAAACTGGAAGGGTACTGAATTCGGGGAAATGCCCTAGTGTGGATAGAAAACTTTCTACATGCCCAGTACTTGCCAACAGTGCATAACAGAGACGTGACCGATCGCACAAGCGGCTAACGAGCCGATCAGTGGTGAAGAGGATAAAAGTAAAAGTAAATAATGAAAAAAATTTGATATGAGAATCTTGTGGCAGCTGTGGTTGTAGTTGATTTGCCAATTCATTAATATAATTTTCTTCGTTATTTAAGTAAATATACAAAATTTTGGAAACTTCTGATTTTAAATAACAATGAATAGATTATTATTATAAAGATGCTACCTTTGGTTTGTTTAATATTTATCCTGACAGTGAGTCAGCAGAAATTAGATTCACCAATCACAATCACCATTACATACAGTCTTACTTTACCAAGTATTGCCAGGTAAAATTACTAGCACGAGACCCAGGGTGGGGTCAGTGCAACTTCGGTTGACTGTACATATCATGTGTCTGAGGTGGCTCCGTAGGTGTGAGCGTATTAAAGTAATTAATCTTGATTTAGTGAACTAATTCACTAAATCGAGTGAAAAATAGCGGTAAAAATTCCTTACGCTTAGAGAGTGTTATATCGGATTCCATTAATTGAAAGTATACTGTTCAGTATATAATTTGAGATGCATTCCCACGTTAAATTTGTCTGACCAAAAATCTAATACAAGCACATATATAAATGAAAATATACAGTTTTGAACACATACAATGATTCATTCATGATGTAACACGATAATAAAAGCACACAACACTTCAGTTTAACTTACCAGAAACGATGTTGAGTGCTGCATGAGATGTTTTCATGTTTACCTAGCACCAGGCATTCTCAAAAAGTCCAGACAATGTTATTACTGTACAGTACTTCTAAATGTGTCTCCATCCGTGCATCATCTGCAGGGAAGGTGGTGGTGTTGTGGGGTATGGGTTTGTGTTCGCTCTCAGGATGGGATGGAGAAAGGAAACTCACAATGTGCTCTCTGTATACATTTTGTATTGGATGTACAATGCAGCTTGGTGCTGGGAAGGCAGCATGGTTACAAGCGTGATGTAGAGAGAGCTGATTGGTGAGGGTGCTCAGAGGAGGACAGCTTGTGGGTCGCCATGCTTGCCGGCGGGAGCAAGGACCGCCAGGCAGGCGGAGGAGGAGGAGGTGTTGCTGGCTGGTTGGTATAGGTAGAAAGAGAGAGATCACCACGAGGTCAGGTCTTAAATAGCGGGGGCTAGGCATGGCTTAGTAGTTGACCCCCGCTCCGTGGGCGGCGCTGGTTGACCTAGACCACGAGGCATACACTGGGGAATTCGTGGGGTCGGCTACGCAGCGACAAACGGCGTTTGTAGGGGAGAAATCCACTACAGTGTCATTGTAAATGGCGGCCCTGTTTGTAGAGAAGTAAACTTACCTTGACTATTATAGCAGGACTTTAAACATTTATTAAAAATTTTATATACCGTATCACACTACGAACGTGGTAGAGTGTATTTCTTATGTTTACCCAGAACTGACAACTCGTCCATTGTACACTGGTAGTGGGCTGACTATATATTCGAAGTGAGAAGTCCACCTGTGAAGACAATATCCTGTTAAGAGTGTTGTAAAGAATTAGTGGCTATTAAAGAGGACTAAAGTGCACAAGTGTGTTTCTTTGACCAGGTGGAATTCTACCTTTCTGTTGTTTGCCTGTACACTGATGCCGATCGTCGGGAAATTACCGGAGACTGGTGGGACAGCCAGTGGTAATTCAACGACACTTGTGATATATCTACTGCTTTTGTATCGAGGACCCGGGCAGCTGGTAACCAGTGATGGGAGCAGGGTAAGCGGCAAAAGGAGGGTCATAACACTGGCGTCAGGAGTGGGATAGCCTAGCAGTGAAATATTAGGCAAGATGGAAGGTGAAGGTGTCCAGACCAGAAGGCAAGGCAGGCAAGGGGAGATTTCTATGGCTGATCTGATGCAATTCTTCACACACAACGAGATGAACAGAAGGAGCAACAGACAAGGCTGCAAGAAGAGCTATAATCACAATGAGAAGAACAGAACGAGCAACAAACAAGGTTGCAAGAACAGCTACAATCACAATGAGAAGAATAGAAACAACTACTGCAAGAACAACGAGAAGAGCAGAAACATGAAAATGTGCAGCTGCAAAGTGAAAATTCAGGAACAGAGCGAAGAACAGAAGTAACTACAGCAGCTGCAGGAAGAGATCGACAAGAAAATTCCTGAGCAGAATGAGGCACCTCAAGTGATGAGTAACAGGTGGGATGATGCGTTTCATGAGGTGAAAGTTGAAGTGGGTGAAAAATTTAAACCACAAACAAAAAGTGTGTGGTGAGATCACGGTGGTATGAGAGGAGCTAACAGTGGTGAACTGTGAGCTACAGAGGAGGACTGTTACAAGCGGAAACGAGAGCGAGAGAAGGGCAATACAGAGAAGAATGTAGAAAAGAGAAGATATTGGACGTGTGAAGAAGATGGACACTTCAGGACTAAGTGTCCACAGAATTCCAAGAGAGGGAAAGCAGTCATCAGTTCCATATTGATCTGAGTGGTTGCATGAATCGCCGCCAGGTGAGGAAGGTGCCACCTGGCCGCTGTGGGAGTACCAGTTGCCCGCCAGCCACCATTCACGTGACTCTCAGGCCGGGCGGGCATAAGCCTCACCTCAATGATATACTTAGTACTTTGATCTGTGATCACCTAGTCTGTGGCCTTGCCTTTAATTTTAGGTATGTGAACACATTTGCAAAGTATGCTATTCATGACAAGTGAAGACTTAGAAGCTTTAGCTGAGTGTGCCAGTCGTGAACCGTGTATTTGAACAAAGCTTACGATAAACTTGTTAATATTTTTAGTGGAGGAGGAAACGTTGCTTGTGAAATGATTATATGATGGTGATACGAAAAGAAAAGCAGAGACTAGAGTAGCAGGTGTAAGGTGTCCATGCTGAGCACCTCGGTCCTGCATGGACAACTTCTGGGTCCTCGACTTCACCGTTACCTTCGTATCGTCGGCCTCACCTTTTAAAATCCTGGTTGACTTGTCACACCAAGAAGAAAATACAACTGGGTATTGGTGAGGTGCTGTTACAGAGTCACTTAATGGGTGTGAGTGGGGGGTGAAGTGTAGTTATTGCCTCACTGCTACTGCTGCCGGGACACGTTATTGCTAGGTGGTGCACGTCGCTTTCGAAAATGTTTAATTTGACCACGTACAGGGGTAAAAGTTTTGATTTTCAATGCAAAACTAAATGAATTAATCGGATAAAGTGGTACAAGTTACCGTACAAACCGATGAGGTAAACCCTTCTAGCACAAACACGTACTTCAATGCGCCATAGAGGTAGATTTCCAAAGACCCCATGTACTCATAAATTGAATCCCAGAGCAGCCAGACCAGAATTAATGTAAGATAAGTTAACGCTGGTTAAAATGAACGGCAACGTTGTAGTGTACAATGAAATTTTCTTATTTGTACTGTATCTTTGATCACTATTAGACGATATACTATAGAAGGAGCGGAGGCGGAACACAGCAGAAGGCGTCATCCACGCAGGGAACGGCATTAGGTCAGTTGGTCATCTCTGGGAGAAAACTAAACGAATTTTTATTTTCACATGCCACAAGCTGACTGTAAGATTATATGTGATGATGAGATGAATGACGTGTTAGTCCAACAGATAGGTGTCTTGTCTTGTACAACAGCTAACCTCTTGTATTGATGCAGCGCCAGTTATGTGAATCGAGTTGTTCTACACAGATTATGTCAAAAATTTAGCTCAAACAGCCACGTCTGACTTTCTAATTATGGCGAGACGATTATAATTCGATGACGATATACCCGCGACAATGTTGGAAGATAACACTGACTGAAACACATTTACAAATAATAATTGTAATAACATGCTTTTTAGTGCACTACAAATTACCTTTAAATGTAATACTGATATGAGACGTAATAAAATTTACCTTGAATGTTGCCCAAACTCGAGCCTTATCCATATAACACTTGGGCGGTTATAATTTTCATGATTTGTTTTTTATCACATTTAATGTCTTTATTATATTAATCTGAATCTTTAAATCATATAATTTTGAGAGGTTGGTACATTAAAATACGTTTCTAGAAATAGTCACGAAGAAAACCTGACTAAGTACAAAAGGTTTTCTCTATCTTCGTACGTATTTTTGGTGGTGTGAATAAGCGAGGATGGGATAAAGAATAACTCGTGAGTGAGGGAGGAAGGATGGGTGTTACAGTGGTCTGGGCAAGGTGATCATAGCAAGCGGGACGAGCTTTCTACATTTTCCTTACGCGCTCGTGTCACAGGTGTGTTTGAAGGAGGGGAGGTAATGGAGATGCACCGTAGGTAAAGGTTAGCGCGTTCACCTGGAGGTTTCGCGGTCATAAGTGGCACGTGGCAGTTTTTTGGTTGGGTTTCATATCGCAGTTTCGTGTCTAGGATTTACGTGGTAGTCTTGTGTTTATGAGTATCAGACCAAGTATTGAGAAGGGTGAATTTGACGACGGCAAGATCTGAGGGTGTGCAGTGATTCACTCGGGTGTCAGTATACAGTATCTGTAGTGTTACAGTTTGATGTTAACAAGTGTGTAGTGGCCCACTCATATGTTGGCATTGGCTCACTCATGTGTTGACAGGTATGTAGTGGCCCACTCATGAGTTGACATGTGTGTAATGACCCACTCATGTGTTGACACGTATGTAGTGACCCACTCATATGTTGACAGGTGCGTAGTGGCCCACTAATGTGTTGACTGGTATGTAATGGCCCAATCATGTGTTGGCTTTTATGTAGTGGCCCACTCATGTGTTGGCAGGTGTGTAATGGCCCACTCATGTGTTGACAGGTATGGAGTGGCTCACTCGTGTGTTGACAAGTATGAAGTGGCCTACTCATGTGGTGACAGGTGTGTAGTATAGTCCAGCCAGGTATTCATAAATGTGTAATGGTTCATATGTGATTCTAGATGTAAAATGGTGTCCCCGGGGATTACCAGGAGCCTAATAGATACTTGCCTCTACAACATAACGATCACAGAGTAAGGTAGGTTTTCTTAAGATTGATTTGGGGATGATTTGATTGACAACTTGATTCACACAGACTTCGATTACCTTAATCTGGTAGAGATATTGAAATTAAATTTGTTTCCTTAGCCAGAATGTTCCAGGTATGAATTGTGCACCGGCAAAAGTTTTAGCATTTTGACTTGGCTGATTTTTTTAGAACTGTAGCTCTTTTGAGAAAGCACCTAATAAAATCACATATGGAGTTAAATATTTACAGTGGCCGCCATAAAAAGTGGCGGACCACGTGATCCACCACTTTGCAGCTGGCTCCCTTTGGGCGGAATTAAAATATGATTAATGTGACAGGTAGTCCACTCATATGGCAACGCTATGGAAGATACCATATTAACTCAGTGTCCAAAACACCTTGAGAGGGGTGTGATGTGGTTGACCGATCTCTCGTGGAATTTTCCATAAATCGAGCGTACTCTTCAGTGTTGTGGTCGCTCGTCCAGGCATTTCACCTAAACGGGAGATCACCCAGAATACTATCACCCGCATTAACACCCTACACAAGGCTGGTTTTGGAAGCAAACATATTGTGGAGGCGAGACGAGTTGTCCAAAGGGTCGTTTTCCGAAGCCTGGACGGCAAAGCAGATCATTAGCTAAAAGAAACAAATGCTAGTTTTTGTAAGTTTACTGGGTAATTTGTCCGTTAGGAGTATGCAAAGTTAACTTGCTTCATAACCTTGAGTTGTGTTCGAGAACAGCTACGAAGTAAACTGTGACAGCTGCTCATAAAGCGAAACGAATTAATGTTGCTAAATCGTGGCCTTTAGGGTGTAAAATTGGGTGATAGTATCCTGGGTGACATGTTCGAAATTCGCATGTTTCGAAACTAAAGATTCACTTTACTCGAGCTGTTGTTTGATGTTTCGAAACTAAAGATTCATTTTACAAGAGCTGTTGTGAGAGGCCGTCAAGGCAGGTCGCGGCCCGCGTCACTTAGCCGGGACCTACCTCGCCGCTGACACTCGTCCACTCTGTGAGTACGATTAATAATTAATATATATGTATATAGTGTGTTTAGCAAAGAAGTGGCATACTTTACTGGTGTTACAAGTAAATAGTTTAGTTAGTACGAAACTAAGGACGTGTTAATCCTTCAGCTTCTTATGTATGTGGCGGAGCTGCTGCAGTGTGGTGACCTGTGTGGCCTGCCCTAGCTAGCTGGTATAGCGTGTCACCTCGCTAGGGTTTGTGTGTGCCACTAGCCCACTACAGCAACTTTTCAACATAGTGCTCACACGCTCGATGATGGGTGCAGCCTCCAGTGTAACCCTGTGTACATGTTGTCCAGTTGGCTCAAGTGACACCAGGCCCCACCTCTACCAGCCATGATTCATATTTTGTATGGTCTCCTTAATATGCTTCCACTATTCTTAATTTATTATTGTTATTACGTTTTTGTTTTTATATTTATTTTTCTTTTGGCACAATCATTCATAGTTGGGAGATAAATGTAGAGAAGGTCTGAAACTAAAGAAAACTTTCACAGGGAATTCTTTTAATGTCCAGAAATTTTACTGTTAAAATATACAAATGAGTGGGCGTCGTATGGAAAGAAAAAAGGCTTAAAGCTGTAAAAAAAATACCTCACACAAAACCAATCATACAAGTTGTTTGGCATGTTCTTGTAACTTACCCAATGTCCCTTAATTGCGTAGAAAAGCCCGGGTACAGTTTTTATGTTCTTTGTTGCATGTGTATGATGTTAGATCTAGTTTATATTCATTTATCAAAGGTATTCATTTCAACATTCTGTAATACGATTTATAATGTTGATATTGTGGCAGAGCTCCTCCCCTTGTATCAGACGGTGGTTCACCCCCATTCTGCGTCTAAGTGTCAATTTCTGAGGAATCTTGCAAATGGTGATGCAAGCGTGAAAATTGGCATGGAGATTCAATACGGGTTAATTATCAAATCTCTCTGATTGGACACTCAAAATTCCATGATGGAGGCCATTTTCCACGCTGTGCCGCCAAATGTGGATGTCAGATTTTACTTTTTTCCATAACAATTATTGTATTCGTCAATTAAGGGGATTTCAGTGTTCATTTCCATGTTTTTGAGAATGTAGAATCTGAATTTTGTGTAGAAAACACTGAAATGGATAGCATTCAAAGGAAACATGCTTATAAAGGGTGAATGTCAATGTACTACCAGGGCACACTGGTGACAACACTGGAGCTCAGTGTCAGCTAAGTACGGAACTCATCGTAAAGATTAATATGTATACAAGAACTTAGTGTCCCAAATGTTACCTAATCAGCCCCAAATAAGGTGCCATGGCGGGAGAGCCGAGCCAAGGATAATAGAGTTAAAGTTATCCGGACGGTGTACAGATCACAGCGGGACTTAAATGATACCAGATGAACGATCGGGCTACAGGAAATACGAGGCTACCGGCAATTTTTCGTAGACATTAAAATTAGCAGCGAATACTGTAATACAAGAAAGTATAGCGGGCCACTTGGAAAGGTTAATAATTCAACCGGATAGTTTGTCCGGTGCACCCCAAGTAGCCTCTTTGAGGGAGAAGTGGGGGAAGGGGCTTTTATTATGGGTGATGTGGGGGGAGGGGCAGTTATTGTGGGTGAAGTGGGGGGGAGGGGCAGTTATTATGGGTGATGTGACTGCTGTAACTCGTTTCTTTCTCATCCTCGACAGAACTGATATGTGCCTAAAGATTGGAAATATGTGCCTTATGAAGTGATTGTTACTGTGCCGGAAAGAATTGTGCGGTGTTGTTGCTGCATCTACCTCACATTGACCACCCTCACCTTGCTCTGTCAGGCTCCCGCACTCAAACTCTTCGCAGTGACAGGTAAGTGCTGAGTGTCATTGTTTTATCGGCTATGTTGATTTCCTCGTGTATTTATTAAAAATAATGTTTCACAAGTTATGTACAAGCATGTTTCAACGAAAAATTTCTTGGTCGCCGTCGTAGACGTGTTCACGCTTACACATATGATCTTGTTTCTAATCCAATCTGCTCGATTAATAGATGTCAAGCAGATGGCAGGGATGTAAAAAACAAAATTCGTATACGTTTATCAAAAACTGAATCTGCTGTATGTATCAAGTGTGGAAGCCCCTTGTGGTGCCACATAAAATAATTGACTTTGATATGTATAAAATGAAGGCCACAATGACCCCTAGAAAATGCATTTTTTTAAATCATGTCTTATAAACTTCCGAAAAACTGTTCAAATCTGGCTATGAAGACTTTTTGTAGAGCCTTCCTCGGTTCCTACAATAAAAACGCGAGCGAACATTACGTTGGTGTCTCACGTTCCCGTGGTAACAGTGGGGCATGGGCGAGGTTATTTTTGATGAACGGTTGTAGGACGTAGGAACTGTGTAATGGCTTTGTCCTTGACGTCAACTGCATGAATGTCGTCTCCGTCGACTACACGACCAAGGAATTGTATCATTGATTTTAAAAATTGACATTTAGAAAGTTTAACCTTAAGTCCTGCTGTAAAAAGCTTCAGGAAAGCTTCCTGGAATTTTCCAAGATGACTGTCTGCATCTTTACTGACGACGATGAGATCATCTAAATAGGCACATAAATCGCCAAACAAAAGGTGTTAATGAGCAAATTGCGTCGCATACCACCATCACCCCCCCCCCTCCCATAAACGCCCACCCCAAGTCGATCATTCCCCACTCCTCCACCCATGTGGTTTACCGTGCAGAAAGGACCCGTCTATGCACAGGGGTTAGGTGGTGGAGTAGATGATTTCTTTTGACCGTGACTGTACATGATCAAGCTCTCTTGTATATATACGTAATACATGGCACAGAGATGTCATCTTGCAAGCAACAGACATGTATATTTTACATGACTTTATAAAAATTAAAACTAATGAGAGGACACATGCAAAATATGAAAGACAGTGTAAATAAATCATTGAAGAACAGCACAGACGACAGTATGGTGAAGTGATGCCGAGGCAGAATTTGTGATAATTAAAAAGACGGTAAAGAAGATAAACAGCAGCACAGTTGTAGGGAAGCTGTGAGAACTATACTGTACTGGGCAAAAGGACAGACTCAGTGACTGAAAGTAAACGATTACACACCTGGAGCACGATCAGGGGAACAACCAAAGACAAAACACATTAACGATGAATGAAAACTGAAAATAGAAAGAATATGCAGATTTACTGTTGATATACAAAACTAAACACGTCTACTGGGCAGTGTGAGACTACTTTATACACTCGGCACTCTTTACGGATACGATAAATTAACTCTGTCTAAATTAACGTTGTCGGAAAAGTTTGATAATGCATTTAGTTTTTTTTATCTACATGAAAACAAGAAATTAATCCATTTGAAAATTAAATATATGACTTTTTGAGCTTCCATGCTTTAATTGTTATGTTCCTTGGATAACGTTGCCACCTTCGAGCACTCTGGTTGTGGCCTCAGTACCAGAGTGCACAAAGCAGAGACCAAGTAAAGTGCAGGGTGAGCGGGAGCGCGTACTTCCCCCTGCCTCATCTCACTTTGCCATCAATCTATTTGAAATATGAAACTCATTTTTTAACTGAACCTTCAAAAGATAAAGTACAGTTAGAGCTCCGAACATAGAACATTCCCGGTAATATTGTCTGAATGGTCGATTATGTGTGGAAAGCACTTGTCAATTTTCTTCGCCAAATCAATTGTCTAATAAACTGCTTGGACTGTCTAATGATTTAAAGTGGAGAATAAAGAGATTTTGGGTATGAAATGGATTAGTAAGGAATGGCAGTTGCGAAAATAAGATGGTACAGTAAGTAAGTACATGGAGGAAGTTAAAGAGCATCACCAGAGGAAACTCCATTAGTGGTTTTGATTATAATAACGACATGAGTAAAGAAACTCGTGAAACTGGCTCGATTTTCCACCTGTGCAAAAGTCGGAGCTACATTGAGGCAAAATAATATATAATCTTAAATCGGAAAATCATTCATGCGGTCGTGTGTGTGTCTGTCTCTCACGTGTGATTCAATATAGTTACACAAGGTTGAGTTAGTCACTCACCCACACATTACATACAGCGGTGACGATTTTTCCCACTTTTATTACAAACACTGAAAATGTAATCGGGTCTACGCATATGCTTACAAACATGCTCGCTGAATGTGATTTATTGTTGAATACTATTACTGTAGTTATGCTGACGACTGAAGAGGGACAGATGGAATGATTGAAGAACAGACGAGTATAAAATAATGTAGAGTAACACCAACAAAGACACGCAACTCGGCTAAAATGTTAAGGGGAATGAGAACCACCACCATCACGAGAGAGGGTGGTGGTGCCACTGAACATCATCAATCTCGTGCAGGTGCTAGCCCATTACTTCCCCCCTCCCCACATGGTATGCACACCTGCTATTTTCCGACCTTTTCACACACCTGGGTCCATATTTCACGCACACACACACACACACACACACTACTACTAGCACTTCTACTTTGGTGTCATTCGGATCGAGTATGACGATCATCCAGCTATAATACAATGATATAAGTTATTAAGGATGTCACAAAGGTTTTGAGTTCTGAGGTAACTAAAGAGGCCGATACGAGACCGGCAGGGTCGGTCACAGATGTTGCACATATGGGGGCTTACATCTAGTGCGGGAGGGGCGGCGGCAGCTTCTTTCCGGCGTTGGCGCTTGTCTGTCTCGTTATGCAGTCGCGATAACTCAAAAGTATTGACACCTTCTCGTGTGGTGCTCCTCCAAGCGTTACAATGTGGAGTAATCTTCTCCCAAGTGAGTGGGTCGATTTGGCACCTTTTTCAGGTTTGTCCTTCAGACTATCCTTATATCTTTTCAGTTGCCCGCCAGAGTTACGTTAACTATTCGTAAGGTGACTGTAAAGTAGCTGCTTTGGCAGTCTACTGTCGTCCATGCGGGTAACATGGCCAGTCCAGCGTAGTTGTTCATGGATAATGGTAGCCTCGATGCTTCTACAGTTGGTGTCAGCAAGAATACTGGCATTTGTTCTCTTGTTTTCCCAGCGAACTCGGAGGATGGAACGTAGACTACGTTGGTGAAAGTTTTCAAGTGCCTTGAGGTGCCTCCAGTATGTGACCCATGTCTCGCTGCCATATAGCAGGGTGGAGAGGACCACTACTCGATGGGGCAACATCAAATTTACTTGTGAATTGGAAAAGGACAATATTCTACCATTCCGTGATGGTAATATCCACCGTCTTCATAATAGTTCCGAGACAGCCTTATACAGAAAACCAACATTCACTGGTTTGAGTTCAAATTTTTCATCTCTCTCTCTCTCTCCCTCTCTCTCTCTCTCTCTCTCTCTCTCTTTCTATATATATATATATATATATATATATATATATATATATATATATATATATATATATATATATATATATATATATATATATATATATATATATATACCTTAATACAGTATACGTTGTTTATTTCTTTGATAATTTTCAATAAAAAGAAATCTATAAACAAGGGTTCGATTCTTAGCTGTTACGTGTAGTGACTTACACATAACTAAAATATCGCATTTAATAAATTCTATAAATTTATAGTTTAGTCTACAGTAAATGTTCAAACTGGATGGACGGGCAAAAAACTGAGTGGCTTGTAGACTCAGGACGAAGGAACCAGGTCAGGGCGCTACTGGTGTGTCTGTCTGTCTGTTCGCCTCTGTCTGCCTGTCTCTATCTGTCTGTATATTCGCCTCCCTCTGTCTGCCTGTCTCTGTTTCTGTCTGTCTGTCTGTCTCATGGCTTGAATCGTACGTAATGCCGGTGGTGTGTTGTAGTGGTGTTGACGTATCTCTTTTACCTCAGTGACTTACATATTACATAATCCCAAGAATCACTTCCCTTGGCTCACTCATAACACAATCTCATTGGTCTTCCTCATGAGTAACCTTTTCCACCTTGACTCGATCACAATACCCCCTTAGCTCCCTCCTCCCCTTTCTTCCCCCCTTCCTCCCAATGACTCCTCCCCTGCTCCCTCTCACTCCTTTCCTCCTACGCACATTGCATAATTTGTTGCTATTCTCACCTCACCAGCAGGGAGGTGTAGGCCACTTCGCCCCCCCTGAACACATAACAATCAAGGTGGGGATAATGACGATATATAGTGCGTATTACACGTTATTAGTGAGGTCATTATGGCAGGTAAACACCGCTCACGAACTGTACTGTCGAACCTTGCGAGTTATAGTGTAATTACGGCCACACCTCTTATTAAATGAATTAAGGCATTAGTAACTTCACTCTTGGGACAGACTGATCAGTAGTCAGAGAAGGACTTGTTATGTGAATGTTGATATTAAATTGCAGCACAAAGTGAGTTGTAGGAACTGCTCAGGAGATGGATTCTTGGATTTCTTTATATATGAATTTTTTTTTATCTTTCACTCAGGGTAAAGCAACTGTGTATTCTGTGTTGTAGATTCAATGAGGCTATTATATATTTTCGTGCACCTCTATTTATGAAACTTTTAGGTGAATTTGAGAGCATTAAAATTGAGAGAAGATTTTCCTTCACGACGACTTTACATCACGTGTAGAGAACTCACTCCAATCTTACATACGGATGTGAACATAGAATATCTTCAGCGCCCTGACGTGTGATCTTGTTACATCTCTACAATTGACAGAGACAAAATATTTCTCGAAATCGCAATTTGTATTCAAGCTACTGTATGTATCTGTGGTAAGATATCTAGTAAAATATTTAGTACGTGTTATGTGTTGGGGAAAAAAATCCGAAGTGAGTCTGAATACCATAGGAAATTTAAAGCAAGGCACATTTATGCCAGG